CATCTCTCATCGTTATAGTCTCATTATGGTCCTCATCTCTCATCGTTATAGTCTCATTATGGTCCTCATCTCTCATCGTTATAGTCTCATTATGGCCCTCATCTCTCATCGTTATAGTCTCATTATGGTCCTCATCTCTCATCGTTATAGTCTCATTATGGTCCTCATCTCTCATCGTTATAGTCTCATTATGGTCCTCATCTCTCATCGTTATAGTCTCTGAGGTCCCTGTCAAACCAAGGCCTCAGTATAGTATCATTACAGAGCATAATATACAAAGCCCGTGCACCAGTCTGAGCTCTCTCCATCCCATAATGCAACACTGTCCTCTGTCCTCTCTCCTCTGTCCTCTGTCCTCTCTCCTCTGTCCTCTGTCCTCTGTCCTCTCTCCTCTGTCCTCTCTCCTCTGTACTCTCTCCTCTGTCCTCTCTCCTCTGTCCTCTGTCCTCTCTCCTCTGTCCTCTCTCCTCTCTCCTCTCTCCTCTGTCCTCTCTCCTCTGTCCTCTGTCCTCTCTCCTCTGTCCTCTCTCCTCTGTCCTCTCTCCTCTGTCCTCTGTCCTCTCTCCTCTCTCCTCTGTCCTCTGTCCTCTGTCCTCTGTCCTCTCTCCTCTGTCCTCTCTCCTCTGTCCTCTCTCCTCTGTCCTCTCTCCTCTGTCCTCTCTCCCCTGTCCTCTCTCCTCTGTCCTCTGTCCTCTCTCCTCTGTCCTCTGTCCTCTGTCCTCTGTCCTCTCTCCTCTGTCCTCTCTCCTCTGTCCTCTCTCCTCTGTCCTCTGTCCTCTCTCCTCTCTCCTCTGTCCTCTGTCCTCTGTCCTCTGTCCTCTCTCCTCTGTCCTCTCTCCTCTGTCCTCTCTCCTCTCTCCTCTGTCCTCTCTCCTCTGTCCTCTCTCCCCTGTCCTCTGTCCTCTCTCCTCTGTCCTCTGTCCTCTGTCCTCTGTCCTCTCTCTTCTGTCCTCTGTCCTCTCTCCTCTGTCCTCTCTCCTCTCTCCTCTGTCCTCTCTCCTCTGTCCTCTGTCCTCTCTCCTCTGTCCTCTGTCCTCTCTCCTCTGTCCTCTGTCCTCTGTCCTCTCTCCTCTGTCCTCTCTCCTCTGTCCTCTCTCCTCTGTCCTCTGTCCTCTCTCCTCTGTCCTCTCTCCTCTCTCCTCTGTCCTCTGTCCTCTGTCCTCTGTCCTCTCTCCTCTGTCCTCTGTCCTCTCTCCTCTCTCCTCTCTCCTCTGTCCTCTGTCCTCTTTCCTCTCTCCTCTGTCCTCTGTCCTCTGTCCTCTGTCCTCTGTCCTCTCTCCTCTCTCCTCTCTCCTCTGTCCTCTGTCCTCTGTCCTCTCTCCTCTGTCCTCTGTCCTCTGTCCTCTGTCCTCTGTCCTCTCTCCTCTGTCCTCTGTCCTCTGTCCTCTCTCCTCTGTCCTCTGTCCTCTTTCCTCTGTCCTCTGTCCTCTGTCCTCTGTCCTCTGTCCTCTCTCCTCTCTCCTCTCTCCTCTGTCCTCTGTCCTCTGTCCTCTGTCCTCTGTCTCACCGTCAGCTCCATCTGGTCGTTGTCGTCCCGGGCCACAAAGGGCCACCATCCTTTGACTCTCTTCTGTTTGAAGATGGAGACGGTCGGCAGCTCCAGCTCGTTACGGACCAGGTCCAGAGTGCACTGTTTGGCCGTCTTTGCTCCTCGAGGAAACCGGTTTAGATCCAACTCGATGGCCCCTGAAGAAGAAACCGGTTTAGATCCAACTCGATGGCCCCTGAAGAAGAAACCGGTTTAGATCCAACTCGATGGCCCCTGAAGAAGAAACCGGTTTAGATCCAACTCCATGGCCCCTGAAGAAGAAACCGGTTTAGATCCAACTCCATGGCCCCTGAAGAAGAAACCGGTTTAGATCCAACTCCATGGCCCCTGAAGAAGAAACCGGTTTAGATCCAACTCCATGGCCCCTGAAGAAGAAACCGGTTTAGATCCAACTCCATGGCCCCTGAAGAAGAAACCGGTGTAGCAGGTCAGTTTAACCCCCCGCCAGAATACACCCGGGGTTAAAGTAGCCTAGGCCAGATTACACCCTGAGGTTAAAATAGCCTAGGCCAGAAAAGACCCCGGGTTATAAACTGGCCTAGGCTATTTTAACCCCCCATAGGCCAGATTAGCCCCCCCTTTCCTTTTAAATAATAACAATAAAATACAAACAATATTTTATTTATTCATTTATTTCTTACTAAATACATTTAGGAAAAGATATGATTTATGAAATAAGCTATTCTATATAGAACCATACAGCAATGTGCCCATTTTTAAGGAATCCTTATATTGAATACAAGTATATTTAAATATAAAACAATTTACAGAAAAAAAGGACTGCACTCTATGGCTACATCACAGGGGCAGGATTTGATGCTAACGGAGTTAAGCTAGCGGTTTTTTGTGTAAAGTTCTCCAATAATGCAGCGTCTGTGTCTGAGACCTTCACAGACTTTATATAACAGTAGTATGTGTTCACGGAGGTGACTTTATATAACAGTAGTATGTGTTCACGGAGGTGACTTTATATAACAGCAGTATGTGTTCACGGAGGTGACTTTATATAACAGCAGTATGTGTTCACGGTGACTTTATATAACAGCAGTATGTGTTCACGGTGACTTTATATAACAGCAGTATGTGTTCACGGAGGTGACTTTATATAACAGCAGTATGTGTTCACGGTGACTTTATATAACAGCAGTATATGTGTTCACGGTGACTTTATATAACAGCAGTATGTGTTCACGGAGGTGACTTTATATAACAGCAGTATGTGTTCACGGAGGTGACTTTATATAACAGCAGTATGTGTTCACGGTGACTTTATATAACAGCAGTATGTGTTCACGGTGACTTTATATAACAGCAGTATGTGTTCACGGAGGTGACTTTATATAACAGCAGTATGTGTTCACGGTGACTTTATATAACAGCAGTATGTGTTCACAGTGACTTTATATAACAGCAGTATGTGTTCACGGAGGTGACTTTATATAACAGCAGTATGTGTTCACGGAGGTGACTTTATATAACAGCAGTATGTGTTCACGGTGACTTTATATAACAGCAGTATGTGTTCACGGAGGTGACTTTATATAAAAGTAGTATGTGTTCGCGGAGGTGACTTTATATAACAGCAGTATGTGTTCACGGAGGTGACCTTATATAACAGCAGTATGTGTTCACGGTGACTTTATATAACAGCAGTATGTGTTCACGGAGGAGACTTTATATAACAGCAGTATGTGTTCACGGAGGTGACCTTATATAACAGCAGTATGTGTTCACGGTGACTTTATATAACAGCAGTATGTGTTCACGGAGGTGACCTTATATAACAGCAGTATGTGTTCACGGAGGTGACTTTATACAACAGCAGTATGTGTTCACGGTGACTATATATAACAGTAGTATGTGTTCATGGAGGTGCCTTTATATAACAGCAGTATGTGTTCACGGAGGTGACTTTATATAACAGCAGTATGTGTTCACGGAGGTGACTTTATATAACAGCAGTATGTGTTCACAGAGGTGACTTTATATAACAGCAGCATGTGTTCACGGAGGTGACTTTATATAACAGCAGTATGTGTTCACGGAGGTGACTATATATAACAGTAGTATGTGTTCATGGAGGTGACTTTATATAACAGCAGTATGTGTTCACGGAGGTGACTTTATATAACAGCAGTATGTGTTCACGGAGGTGACTTTATATAACAGCAGTATGTGTTCACGGAGGTGACTTTATATAACAGCAGTATTTATTCAAGGAGGTGACTTTATATAACAGCAGTATGTGTTCACGGAGGTGACTTTATATAACAGCAGTATTTATTCACGGAGGTGACTTTATATAACAGCAGTATGTGTTCACGGTGACTTTATATAACAGCAGTATGTGTTCACGGAGGTGACTTTATATAACAGCAGCATGTGTTCACGGAGGTGACTTTATATAACAGCAGTATGTGTTCACGGAGGTGACTTTATATAACAGCAGTATGTGTTCACGGAGGTGACTTTATATAACAGCAGCATGTGTTCACGGAGGTGACTTTATATAACAGCAGTATGTGTTCACGGAGGTGACTTTATATAACAGCAGTATGTGTTCACGGAGGTGACTTTATATAACAGCAGTATGTGTTCACGGTGACTTTATATAACAGCAGTATGTGTTCACGGTGACTTTATATAACAGCAGTATGTGTTCACGGAGGTGACTTTATATAACAGAAGTATGTGTTCACGGTGACTTTATATAACAGCAGTATGTGTTCACAGTGACTTTATATAACAGCAGTATGTGTTCACGGAGGTGACTTTATATAACAGCAGTATGTGTTCACGGAGGTGACTTTATATAACAGCAGTATGTGTTCACGGTGACTTTATATAACAGCAGTATGTGTTCACGGAGGTGACTTTATATAACAGCAGTATGTGTTCACGGTGACTTTATATAACAGCAGTATGTGTTCACGGTGACTTTATATAACAGCAGTATGTGTTCACGGAGGTGACTTTATATAACAGCAGTATGTGTTCACGGTGACTTTATATAACAGCAGTATGTGTTCACAGTGACTTTATATAACAGCAGTATGTGTTCACGGAGGTGACTTTATATAACAGCAGTATGTGTTCACGGAGGTGACTTTATATAACAGCAGTATGTGTTCACGGAGGTGACTTTATATAAAAGTAGTATGTGTTCGCGGAGGTGACTTTATATAACAGCAGTATGTGTTCACGGAGGTGACTTTATATAACAGCAGTATGTGTTCACGGAGGTGACTTTATATAAAAGTAGTATGTGTTCGCGGAGGTGACTTTATATAACAGCAGTATGTGTTCACGGAGGTGACCTTATATAACAGCAGTATGTGTTCACGGTGACTTTATATAACAGCAGTATGTGTTCACGGAGGAGACTTTATATAACAGCAGTATGTGTTCACGGAGGTGACCTTATATAACAGCAGTATGTGTTCACGGTGACTTTATATAACAGCAGTATGTGTTCACGGAGGTGACCTTATATAACAGCAGTATGTGTTCACGGAGGTGACTTTATACAACAGCAGTATGTGTTCACGGTGACTATATATAACAGTAGTATGTGTTCATGGAGGTGCCTTTATATAACAGCAGTATGTGTTCACGGAGGTGACTTTATATAACAGCAGTATGTGTTCACGGAGGTGACTTTATATAACAGCAGTATGTGTTCACGGAGGTGACTTTATATAACATCAGTATTTATTCACGGAGGTGACTTTATATAACAGCAGTATGTGTTCACGGAGGTGACTTTATATAACAGCAGTATTTATTCACGGAGGTGACTTTATATAACAGCAGTATGTGTTCACGGTGACTTTATATAACAGCAGTATGTGTTCACGGAGGTGACTTTATATAACAGCAGCATGTGTTCACGGAGGTGACTTTATATAACAGCAGTATGTGTTCACGGAGGTGACTTTATAAACAGCAGTATGTGTTCACGGAGGTGACTTTATATAACAGCAGTATGTGTTCACGGAGGTGACTTTATATAACAGCAGTATGTGTTCACGGAGGTGACTTTATATAACAGCAGTATGTGTTCACGGAGGTGACTTTATATAACAGCAGTATGTGTTCACGGAGGTGACTTTATATAACAGCAGTATGTGTTCACGGAGGTGACTTTATATAACAGCAGTATGTGTTCACGGTGACTTTATATAACAGTAGTATGTGTTCACGGAGGTGACTTTATATAACAGCAGTATGTGTTCACGGAGGTGACTTTATATAACAGCAGTATGTGTTCACGGAGGTGAGTTTATATAACAGCAGTACGTGTTCACGGAGGTGACTTTATATAACAGCAGTATGTGTTCACGGAGGTGCGCCATACGTTTATTTCATTACAGTATTTCCGCATTGACGAACACGTTTGAAGCAGTTGCATAAAGTCACAGGAGCATGAAAACTCATATATTCACAAGCACAGAGTCCCCCTTTGTCAACCCTGGTTTATTCCTGGTTTAGTCCTAGTTTAGTCCTGGTTTAGTGCTGGTTTAGTCCTGATGAAGCTCCTGTTTTGGCTGTTTACAGTATGTTCAGTCTGCTCGCTCAGAGACCCCCGTGACCACTTTGCTGCTCTCTGATTGGTCGCTGCATGTGCGCCCCAAAGAAACCCTCAGCAATATTTATCTCCTGCATGCGTTGATTATCCGCTCCTGCACCTCTGTCGCGCAGTTCATGCGTGCATCCCGATATGACATACATGGCACCATTGACTTTGCATTGAAAGTGGACTCAGCAGGATCCGGTGTGAAAGCCCCATAAGAAGAGTTATAACATGAAACATGTCAGAAGTAGATACATGAGTCATCACCTCTAACAAAGTGTGAAAAGCAATCACACTTATTCAGGCTGCAGTAATTAATTAACAAACTACTTCTAAATTATTTTAAATAATTTAGAAGTTTCAAAAATATATTCAATAAAGTATATTTTGTTATTATTAGATAAAACAAGAGGGGGGTTAATCTGGCCTAAGGGGGGTTAAAATAGCCTAGGCCAGAATAAACCCCGGGGTATATTCTGGCCTAGGGCTATTTTAACCCCGGGGTGTAAACTGGATCCAACTCCATGGCCCCTGAAGAAGAAACCGGTTTAGATCCAACTCCATGGCCCCTGAAGAAGAAACCGGTTTAGATCCAACTCCATGGCCCCTGAAGAAGAAACCGGTTTAGATCCAACTCCATGGCCCCTGAAGAAGAAACCGGTTTAGATCCAACTCCATGGCCCCTGAAGAAGAAACCGGTTTAGATCCAACTCCATGGCCCCTGAAGAAGAACGTTCACCTCTGCTCTGTCCCTGTGCTCTGTCTTTCTGCTCTGTCCCTGTGCTCTGTCCCTGTGCTCTGTCCCTGTGCTCTGTCCCTGTGCTCTGTCCCTCTGCTCTGTCCCTGTGCTCTGTCCCTGTGCTCTGTCTTTCTGCTCTGTCCCTGTGCTCTGTCCCTGTGCTCTGTCCCTGTGCTCTGTCCCTGTGCTCTGTCCCTCTGCTCTGTCCCTGTGCTCTGTCCCTGTGCTCTGTCTTTCTGCTCTGTCCCTGTGCTCTGTCCCTGTGCTCTGTCCCTGTGCTCTGTCCCTCTGCTCTGTCCCTGTGCTCTGTCCCTGTGCTCTGTCCCTCTGCTCTGTCCCTGTGCTCTGTCCCTGTGCTCTGTCTTTCTGCTCTGTCCCTGTGCTCTGTCCCTGTGCTCTGTCCCTGTGCTCTGTCCCTCTGCTCTGTCCCTGTGCTCTGTCCCTGTGCTCTGTCCCTCTGCTCTGTCCCTGTGCTCTGTCCCTGTGCTCTGTCTTTCTGCTCTGTCCCTGTGCTCTGTCCCTGTGCTCTGTCCCTGTGCTCTGTCCCTGTGCTCTGTTCCTGTGCTCTGTCCCTGTGCTCTGTCTCAAACTAATGTGACATCACCTTTTCCCTCTGTGGTGAATGAACACATATGTGCGTCAGCTGCACTAGCCCCATTCATTCAATGAGGGCCTTCTACAGTCCACAGCGGCTAAACTAGACTGGTCCAAAACATGCACTCCCCTCAGACAGCATCTGGAACCAAGAGGACCAAGAACCACTTTTGGACCAAGAACCACTTTTGGTCCAATCTGTAAAGCCGTTCTCCAGAGGAAAGAAGACACTGTACAAAAGCATTGGATAATTCTCTTTCCAGGTACACCCCCACAGGCCCGGGGTGGCATTGCATGTACGTCACTGCACGTGCTCATGGAGCCAGGACCCGCCCACACTGATCCAGACCAATGGAAGAGCTGATATAATACCAGGGGACCAGAACAGAAAATAGGCGAGTTTTGGGTGTTGGGGTAAACCGGAGCACCTGGAGGAAACCCACCCAGACACAGGGAGGAACACATGGAAGAGCTGTAACCTGCAGGTGGCGCTCTTACCCAGGAAGTCATCTGCAGAGAAGTGGTCTGCATCCCAGACCTGCAGCGTGAGTCTCGGGGGGATCTTGTACTCGGTCTCGTCCCAGGAGAACATGGACTCTTTCTTGGAGATCACGATCTTCTCCTCGGCCACGAGATAATCGAACGGGAAGACCAGGCGCCAGTTAAAGTTCCCCTCTCCGGTCAGAGAGTGGTAATGGACGTCTGTGTCCTGCTTATCCTCCTGCTGCCCCTTCAGCCACCTGCCGGACCACAACAACACCGCGTCACCCTCACAGCCTCCACAGACTCATGAGGCTCTGGGATCATGCACTTTATGTTCAGATTTAGTTTGGGTCGATTTGATTCAAAGGACAGTAAAGATCAACAAGACCAGCAAGACCAGCATGACCAGCAAGACCAGCAAGACCAGCAAGAGAGAGGATGGTGAGGGTACTGTGGCTCAAAAAGATCAGAGACAACTGTGAGGTCCGGACTCGTTCTAGTCCCGACAAAGAGAACCTCAGATGGTATGGAAGCAGAGGACCAAAGCACCAGAGGGAGGACCAGAGGACCAGAGGACCAGAGGGAGGACCAGAGGGAGGACCAGAGGACCAGAGGGAGGATCAGAGGGAGGACCAGAGGAAGGATCAGAGGGAGGACCAGAGGGAGGATCAGAGGGAGGACCAGAGGAAGGATCAGAGGGAGGATCAGAGGGAGGACCAGAGGGAGGACCAGAGGGAGGACCAGAGGGAGGATCAGAGGGAGGACCAGAGGAAGGATCAGAGGGAGGACCAGAGGGAGGATCAGAGGGAGGACCAGAGGGAGGATCAGAGGACCAGAGGGAGGATCAGAGGGAGGACCAGAGGATCAGAGGGAGGACCAGAGGGAGGACCAGAGGGAGGATCAGAGGGAGGACCAGAGGGAGGATCAGAGGACCAGAGGGAGGACCAGAGGGAGGATCAGAGGGAGGACCAGAGGGAGGACCAGAGGGAGGACCAGAGGGAGGACCAGAGGGAGGATCAGAGGGAGGACCAGCGGGAGGACCAGAGGGAGGATCAGAGGGAGGACCAGAGGGAGGACCAGAGGGAGGATCAGAGGGAGGACCAGAGGGAGGACCAGAGGGAGGATCAGAGGGAGGATCAGAGGGAGGATCAGAGGACCAGAGGGAGGATTAGAGGACCAGAGGGAGGATCAGAGGGAGGACCAGAGGGAGGATCAGAGGACCAGAGGGAGGATCAGAGGGAGGACCAGAGGGAGGATCAGAGGGGAGGACCAGAGGGAGGATCAGAGGGAGGACCAGAGGGAGGATCAGAGGGAGGACCAGAGGAAGGATCAGAGGGAGGACCAGAGGAGTCAGAGGGAGGATCAGAGGGAGGACCAGAGGAAGGATCAGAGGGAGGATCAGAGGGAGGACCAGAGGGAGGATCAGAGGGAGGACCAGAGGGAGGACCAGAGGGAGGACCAGAGGGAGGATCAGAGGGAGGATCAGAGGGAGACAGACCAGAGGGAGGACCAGAGGGAGGACCAGAGGGAGGATCAGAGGGAGGACCAGAGGAAGGATCAGAGAGGGAGGACCAGGACCAGAGGGAGGATCAGAGGGAGGACCAGAGGGACCAGAGGGAGGATCAGAGGACCAGAGGGAGGATCAGAGGGAGGACCAGAGGATCAGAGGGAGGACCAGAGGGAGGACCAGAGGGAGGATCCAGAGGGAGGACCAGAGGGGGGACAGAGGGAGGACCAGAGGGAGGACCAGAGGGGGAGGACCAGAGGGGGGTTAGGGTCTGGAGCTTTGACCAGAGGGAGGACCAGAGGGAGGATCAGAGGGAGGACCAGAGGGAGGAAACAGAGGAGCAATTTTACATGTTTTGGTGGTAAGAGAAACCGGAGCACCCGGAGGAAACCTACTCTATGTTAGTGTTTCTCAAACTTTACTTTAATGTTTAACCAACTCTGACCTCTCTGTCACAGTATAAAGCCATGCGTCAGACCAAGGACAGAACCAGGTTTAGGTTCTGACAGAACCAGATTCAGGCTCTGACAGAACCAGGCTTAGGTTCTGACAGAACCAGATTCAGGCTCTGACAGAACCAGGCTTAGGTTCTGACAGAACCAGATTCAGGTTCTGACAGAACCAGGCTTAGGTTCTGACAAAACCAGGTTTAGGCTCTGACAGAACCAGGCTTAGGTTCTGACAAAACCAGGTTTAGGCTCTGACAGAACCAGGCTTAGGTTCTGACAGAACCAGATTCAGGCTCTGACAGAACCAGGCTTAGGTTCTGACAGAACCAGGTTTAGGCTCTGACAGAACCAGGTTTAGGTTCTGACAGAACCAGGCTTAGGTTCTGACAGAACCAGATTCAGGTTCTGACAGAACCAGGCTTAGGTTCTGACAGAACCAGGTTTAGGCTCTGACAGAACCAGGTTTAGGCTCTGACAGAACCAGGTTTAGGCTCTGACAGAACCAGGTTTAGGTTCTGACAGAACCAGGCTTAGGTTCTGACAGAACCAGATTCAGGTTCTGACAGAACCAGGCTTAGGTTCTGACAGAACCAGGTTTAGGCTCTGACAGAACCAGGTTTAGGCTCTGACAGAACCAGGTTTAGGCTCTGACAGAACCAGGTTTAGGTTCTGACAGAACCAGGCTTAGGTTCTGTGGAAAAGAACTTTCACCAAACCTGAAATAAACAAAGTAGTCCATGCTTTATGTGTTCAGACACATGCTCAGGGTCAGAACAAAACCACACCATTTCAGCCATACTGTTAGCATGTTAGCTATGCTGTTAGCATGTTAGCTATGCTGTTAGCATGTTAGCCATACTGTTAGCATGTTAGCTATGCTGTTAGCATGTTAGCTATGCATGTTAGCCATACTGTTAGCATGTTAGCTATGCTGTTAGCATGTTAGCTATGCTTTAGCATGTTAGCCATACTGTTAGCATGTTAGCTATGCTGTTAGCATGTTAGCTATGCTGTTAGCATGTTAGTTATGCTGTTAGTTGTTAGCCATACTGTTAGCATGTTAACTATGCTGTTAGCATGTTAACTATGCTGTTAGCATGTTAGCCATACTGTTAGCATGTTAGCTATGCTGTTAGCATGTTACCATACTGTTAGCATGTTAGCCATACTGTTAGCATGTTAGCCATACTGTTAGCATGTAGCCATACTGTTAGCATGTTAACTATGCTGTTAGCATGTTAGCCATACTGTTAGCATGTTAGCCATACTGTTAGCATGTTAGCCATACTGTTAGCATGTTAGCCATACTGTTAGCATGTTAGCCATACTGTTAGCATGTTAGCCATACTGTTAGCTGTTAGCCATACTGTTAGCATGTTAGCTATGCTGTTAGCTGTTGCATGTTAGCCATACTGTTAGCATGTTAGCTATGCTTTTAGCATGTTAGTTATGCTGTTAGCATGTTAACCATACTGTTAGCATGTTAGCTATGCTGTTAGCATGTTAGCCATACTGTTAGCATGTTAGCCATACTGTTAGCATGTTAGCCATACTGTTAGCATGTTAGCCATACTGTTAGCATGTTAGCTATGCTGTTAGCATGTTAGCCATACTGTTAGCATGTTAGCTATGCTTTTAGCATGTTAGCTATGCTGTTAGCATGTTAACCATACTGTTAGCATGTTAGCTATGCTGTTAGCATGTTAGCCATACTGTTAGCATGTTAGCCATACTGTTAGCATGTTAGCCATACTGTTAGCATGTTAGCTATGCTGTTTGCATGTTAGCCATACTGTTAGCATGTTAGCTATGCTTTTAGCTGTTAGCTATGCTGTTAGCATGTTAACCATACTGTTAGCAAGTTAGCTATACTGTTAGCATGTTAGCCATACTGTTAGCATGTTAGCTATGCTTTTAGCATGTTAGCCATACTGTTAGCATGTTAGCTATGCTGTTAGCATGTTAACCATACTGTTAGCATGTTAGCTATACTGTTAGCATGTTAGCCATACTGTTAGCATGTTAGCTATGCTGTTAGCATGTTAGCTATACTGTTAGCATGTTAGCCATACTGTTAGCATGTTAGCCATACTGTTAGCATGTTAGCCAGACTGTTAGCATGTTAGCCATACTGTTAGCGTGTTAGCCATACTGTTAGCGTGTTAGCCATACTGTTAGCATGTTAGCCATTACTGTTAGCATGTTAGCCAGACTGTTAGCATGTTAGCCATACTGTTAGCGTGTTAGCCATACTGTTAGCGTGTTAGCCATACTGTTAGCATGTTCAGCTTGTTAGCGTGTTAGCCATACTGTTAGCATGTTAGCTTGTTAGCTAGCAGCAGACGTGGTGTGGCTTTGAGCAGAGATCATTGATCACATTCACAAGTCAAAGAAAGAGTCAAAGAGAAGGAACTCATCCTGCAGTCAGTGAGACAGAGACAAGGACTTTAGGAGGTGAAGGAGGTGAAGAGGAGGCGCAGAAGGAGGTGAAGAGGAAGGCGCAGAGGAGGTGAAGAGGAGGCGCAGAGGAGGTGAAGAGGAGGCGCAGAGGAGGTGAAGAGGAGGCGCAGGTGAAGAGAGGCGCAGTGAGGTGAAGAGGAGGTGAAGAGGAGGTGAAGAGGAGGCGCAGTGGAGGTGAGGTGAAGAGGAGGATCATAGGTCAGAGAGAGAGAAAGGGACGCAGTGAGGGGTGTAGTAGACAGGTGCAGGAGTGAGGAAGAATTGTATGACAAACAAATAGCATAAATACAATCTCAGAATCCTCCTTAAGGACCTCACATGGTTCAGTACGGACGCCACATGGTTCAGTACAGACCTCTCATGGTTCAGTACAGACCTCCTCATGGTTCATTAACGGACCACACCTGGTTCACTACAAACCTCCCATTGTTCAGTAAGGACCTCCTCATTGGTTCAGTACAGACACTCTCATGGATCAGTACAAACCTCACAAGGTTCAAGGTACGGACCTCTCATGGTTTCATACGTACCTCTACATGTTCAGTACATAGACCTCATCATGTTCAGTAACACATGCACCCTCATTGTTCAGAACAGACCTCTTCCAGTTTCAGTACGACCTCTCATGGTACAGTACAAACCTCCCAAGGTTCAGTACGACCACTCATGTTCAGTAACAGATACCTCTCAAGTTCAGTACCGGACCTCACATGTTCAGTACGGACCCTCTCATGGTTCAGTACAACATCTCAAGTTCAGTACTGACATCTCATGGTTCATACAGCAGACCTCTCAGGTTCATACAGACCTCACATGGTTCAAGTACATACCTCACCATGTTCTGACGGACCTCACAGGTTCAGTACAAGACCTCTCATGGTTCAGTACAGAACCTCTCACAGGTTTCAAGTAGCGGACCACACATTTATGGTTCAGTACAGTACCTCTCAAGGTTCAGTACAGACCTCTCATGGTTTCAGTACGGACCTCTCATTGATCAGTACAGACCTCACATGGTTCAGACAGACCTCACATGGTTCAGTACGGACCTGCACATGGTTCCAGTACAGACCGCAACATGTTTCAGTACGGACCTCACATGGTTCAGTACATACCTCACAGGTTCAGTACAGACCTCACATGGTTCAGTACGGACCTCATCATTGTTCCGTACGGGACCTCTCAATGGTTCAGTACAGACCTCCTCATGGTTCATTACGTACCACACATGTTTCAGTACAGACCTCCATCATGGGTTCAGTACGGACCTCACATTGTTCAGTAAAGACCTCATCAATGGTGTTCATGTACAGACCTCACATGTTCATGTACAGACCTCATCAGGTTCAGTACGGACCTCACATGTTCAGACTCCGCCTCTTTTCCTATATCCTCAGTTAAAATTGTGACTGAGGAAGTGGGCGTAGTCTGCTGTGTTCTCCTGCTCAGGTTGGACTAACACCTGCAGCCCGCAGCCGCCCTGCCTGAACTGTTATTGATAGTGGTACTATGAAGGACACAGTACTAAGATGACACATGCACTGCGGCTCTCTGAGTTTCACTCGTGGCATAGTAATTATACTTTTACTATTGACATGAGGCAGAAGCTCCTTTAGGACGTTCGTCTGTGAATGCTGGCATTATATGTAGTTTGCAACATGGACGAACTTTATAGGATGTTGGAGACTTAGGATTAAAACATATACACAGAAGGACCTCAAAGGAACCACAAGTCTAAGAGCATTCCTTAAGGTGGACCTCAAAAGTACTTAAGGGTGGACCCTCACAGTTTCTTAAGGTGGACCTCATCAGTTTCTTAAGGTGGACCTCACAGATCCTTAAGGTGGACCTCAGCAGTCCTTAAGGTGGACCTCAACAGTTCCTGTAAGGTGGACCCCAGCCAGAAGGAAACGTACGAGTGAGCAAGTAGGACGAGGAAGGAGTACTTCTATGGGATTTGGGGATGCAGGGAAGGTGGTCTGGGAGGAAGGGGAGGCCCAGAGGGTACTAGAAGAGGCCCAGAGTGGGACCAGAAGTGAGGCCAGAGGGGACCAGAGGATGCCAAGGGGACCAGAGTAGAGCCAGAGGGGACCAGAGGAGACCGAAGGTTAGGCCAGAGGGGACCTAGAGAGAGTACCAGTAGGGGCCCAGAGGGAGACCAGAGGGGGGACCAGAGAGGAGACCAGATGGGGGACGCAGAGAGAGAACCAGAGGGACCAGAGGAGGTCCAGAGGGGGACCAGCAGAGAGACCAGAGGGGACCAGAGGGGAGACCAGAGGGACCAGAGAGAGAGCCAGAGGGACCAAGAGAGAGCCAAGGGGACCAGAGAGGCCAGATGGGACCAGAGGAGGCCAGAGGGGGACCAGAGAGGCCAGAGGGGACTAAGAGAGGTCCAGAGGGGACCAGAGGAGCGCCAGAGGGGACCTAGAGGAGGCCAGAGGGACCAGAGAGGCCAGAGGGACCAGAGGAGGGGCCAGAAGGGGACGAGGAGGAGGCCAGAGAGGACCAGAGGAGCCAGAGAGGACCAGTAGAGGCCAGAGAGGGACCAGAGAGAGGCCAGAGAGAGGACCAGAGGAGAGACCATGAGGGACCAGATACCTGGAGAGTCCAAGGTAGGGACCAAGCAGCGAGGCCAGAGGTGACCAGAGAGAGACCAGAGGGGACCAGAGGTGGCAGGCCTAGAAGGGTACCAGGGAGGAGTACCAGAGGGGACCAGATGGAGGCCAGAGGGGACCAGAGAGAGACCAGAGGGGGCCATAGGGGCGGCCAAGGGGACTAGAGGAGGCCAGAGGGGACCAAAGAGAGAGACCAGAGGAGGCAGGAAGGCATCAGCAGGGGGGGACAGACAGATGTGGAGGGTGGAAGGGTAGCTGGTTGGTGGGTTGGTGTGATCGAGCACCGTGGCAGATGGGGGTGGGATGGTGGGGGGGGGTGGGGAGCCATGCGTAAGGTTGAGGTGGGTGGTTGTGCGAGCCATGCTAGGGGGGGAGGGGTGGGGGGGGGTTGTTCGAGGCCATGGCTTATGGTGGGAGGGGGTGGGTGGTTCGAGCGCATATGCTATGGGTGGAGGTGGGGGGTTTGGGTCGAGCCATGCATGTGGGGGAGGGGGTGGGGTGGGGTTCGCTGCCATGGCTAATTTGGGAGGTGTGTTTACCCCCCTGCACATAGATGTCAGACATCTTCTCTCCTGTCATGGAAAGCATGCGTCCCTCGAGAAGAACGGGTCGTCATGGGTCCAAGAACGGATCACGCAGCTCCAAAGCTGGATGCACGAGGCGTAGAGAAGATCACACACACACCACAAACTACACACATATGGACAAGTACATAAATACAAAAGCTATGGTTAAAACACAAAGGAGAAGGTCCCGCACGACGCGCGAGCACCGGCTCGGCCCAGCCGGCCGCCACGCCCGGGACCTACCTCCCCCACAAATGATGGTTCCACGGGAACTTTGTCCCCAGTGAAGAAATCATCGTCCTCCCAGAATTACTTCATCTGTATTCCAAATAATCTCTTCTGAGCTCATAACTGCGAGGAACACACACTTCAGTGAGGACTAGGCCTGAGGCTACAGCGCTCCCCTCGGGACTGCACATCATCACACTCACTCTACCCTACCTACGACATGTATAACTTACGAAGACAACGTGAAGATACGGGCATAACTATATACGTAAAGCATCATCACACAGCCCACCCCCTCGGGACGTCACACTACACGACATACTACATATAAAAAAATACTACACTACCAGTATTACAGTAACGAGACCCAAAGTTTGGACTCCCTCCTCTTGCAAGAGATGGGGGACTTGTTCATGATTAGAAAACTCGAGAGGAGTGGAACACTGGGAGGGGCTCAGAACCGAATGAATGAACTCATGTGAATCATGTTTGGGGAGTAAGAAAGTATGACCAAGTGGTAAATAGGTGGTTATAGGCCTGGTACTTCGGCAAAGGTAGCGCCATTGTGGGGCGTCTGGATACGGCTTCCCTCCTTGGCATCTCTCTGGGGGTAGCTTCTATACATGACCATGAAATGGTCTCCACTGTGCACTGGGGATAGGAGGTTCCCATGAGGCGGGTGCACTGTATGGCCCCTTCACTCTGTGGTCCAGCCTCCAAAACCTATCAGGGACTGGGGGGTTCAGGTGCCAAAACCAACGGGACTGGGGGGGGTGTCAGGTACCAAAACCATCTGGAACTGGGTTCAGGTTCCAAAACCAATCGTGGACGTAAGGTTCAGGGGCCAAAACCCAGCTGGACTATGGTGCAGTGGTCCACATCCATCTGAACTAGGTGTCAGGTCCAAAATACCATCAGGACAGGGTTCAGGTCCAAAACCATCGCGGGACTTAGGGCAGGGGGGCCAAAACCCATACTGGAGTCTGGGTGATCAGGTCCCAAAACCAGCTGTGACGGGGTTCAGGTCCAAAAACCATCTGGGACTGGGTTCAGGTCCATAAACCCATCTGGACTGGGATCAAGGTCCAAAACCATCTGGGACTCCAAGACACGTAGTGTCGTATCAACCAGGTCGAGCGTTGCGCTCACAAAACGCCAGACGTCTGGTGGTCCCTAAGGTCTCAAAGGTCACTGTTGGTGGCAGAGCATTTAGCTACCAAGCTCCTTTACTGTGGAATCAGCTTCCCATTTATGTTAAGGAAGCAGATACGGTCTCCACATTCAAGGCCAGGCTTAAAGCACTTTACTTTAATTTAGCATATAATTAGGTAATATATAATATGTAGTGTATATATTATATATATATGCTGTATTATGTTATATATTATGTTATATATTATTCAATAATGTATTGTGTTATGTTGTATATTATGTTATATATTATGCTGTATGTTATTCTTTATTCAAGGCTAGGTTTAAAACAGTCCTCTTTAGTTTAGCATATGGCTAGGAAGGTAAGACTCGGAGAAGGTTAAACTCCTCAGAGTGTTAGTCAAGCTGCATAGGGAGTCAGTTTGCTGGGAGAAGTATGGTAACTTGAGCACTATCCTCTCCTCCTTCCTACTTTATCTGTTTAGCATTTTTAGGATTCTGACTGTAGTTTGTTCATTGCTATTCACCCGTTGTCCCATTGTCTGTTTCATGGTACGATGACGGGATCTCTGAGCCTGGCCTCTTCCATCTACACCTGCGGACTGCCCCGCCCGACCCGCCTGGGAGTGCTTCAGTCCTGCACCGGACCTGTCCACGTTCAGCGTCCACTGGTCCACGTTCTGTAGCTAGCTTAGGTCCTAGATCATTAGCCTGTCCGTCCGGAGGAGCGGATCCCTTTCTCATATGGGTCTCCCTCCCTGTGGGTTTCCCTAGTTCTCCTCCAAGGTTTCTCACTTTTTCCCACTGGGTTTTTTAAGAGTTTTTCCTTGTCGATGCAGGAGGGTCTTGTTGGACAGTTAGTGTCCAACAGAAAGGATTGGTGATGATCAGGACACTTTAGCATTCTACAACATGTATGGACATTTTCTTCTGTGTGTGCTTTATATTCTTCATGTGTTTTAACTGTTGATTCTCTGACCTGTGTTGGTGATTTCAATGGTTTTGTTAAGTCCTCTGAGATGACTTCTGTTGTGACCTAGGGCTATACAAGAATAAATTGTATTGTATTGTATTGTATTGGACTGGGTTCAGGTCCAAAAACCATCTGGACTTTGGTTCAGGTCCAAAACCAACTGGACTGGGTTCAGGTCCAAAACCATCTGGACTGGTACAGGTCCAACACCATCTGGACTAGGTTCAGGTCCAAAACCATCTGGACTTGTGTCCAGGTCCAAAGACATCTGGACTAGTACAGGGTCCAAAACCATCTAGGCTGGGTTCAGGTCCAAAACCACTGGACTGGGTTCAGTCCAAACCACTGTGGACTAGGTTCAGTCCAAAACCACTGTACTATGTTCAGGTCCAAAACCAATCTGACTGGTTCTGGTCTACCAAACCATCTCGACTAGGTTCAGTCCAAAACCATCTGGACTGGTTCCGGTCCGGCCCTTACACACCCTGTGCGGTTACAGCAATAGTCATGAACATACTCAGTGAAGGAGAGGTGTCCAGACTTTTGAACTGTATACTATATACTTCACTATACGTACCTATATCATGTTACACGCCACCACCACTATGACACACACTAAACTACCCTCCATACTACTAATACAACTAATAACTCATATAAACTACCATATATACTTCATCATCCTCCAACATCACAAGCTGCATGTCAGCATTAAAAACTGAGGGTACCTAACTTTTGAAACTGTTATGGTACGATCACTACAATGTCACGACATCGACAACAACGATACAACGTCACTAACAATTTCACAACAACACTACGACATCCATGTGACGTAACTGTTATGTCCACTACATCACTAATATGACCTACGACGTCCCTATGACACCACTAAGATGTCACAATGAACACCACTAATGACACCACTATGACATCACTATGATGTCACTATGACACACTATGATGTTCACCTTAATGACACCAACTAATGACATCACATGATCACTAGACATCACTATGACATCACAATGACATCACTATGACATCACTAATGACATCACTATGACATCACTATGACATCACAATGACATCACTATGCCATTACTATGACTTCACTATGACATCACATATGAAATCACTATGAACATCACTATGACAATCCAACATATGACAGCACTATGACATCACTATGACACACTATGACATCACTATGACATCACTAGACATCACTAAGACATCACTATGCAACATCACATATGACATCACTATGACATCACTAAGGACATCAACTATGACATCACAATGACATCACTATGACACCACTATGCATCACTATGACATCACAATGACATCACTATGACATCACTATGACATCACTATGACATCACTATGACACCACTATGACAAGTCACACATGTACACCTCACATAAGACATGTCACTAATGACACCAACTAGGACATCACTATGACATCACTATGATGTCACTAATGAACACCACTTGACGTCACACGAGCAGTATTTCTGCCATAAAAACCGTACATAGTTTTTATTCTCATTGAAATTGACGTATCATACACATGTCACATGTCTTTGTTAAGCGCTCCCACTGGTGGCATCACAGGAAAAATTCAAGTGAGTCACTATTTGACACTTTGGGCTGAGAGCTGAGTAGCTGAGTTAGGGCGGGTCCTCACTTCTCAGAATCAAAATCCTCTCTTCTGTGTAAAATTCGGTGAGTAGAAGTATAGACGGGTTGTATCTATCCAGACATGGTTTAATGAAATGGCTATCAATCTTTTTGTAGTTACTGTACCTCAGCTTAATTAAACTTAAGAACATGAATGAATACATTAAAAGACAAATTACCGCCATCAGTACATCTAGTACTTTTGTAAGATTCCACTGGCTCCTGCTCTACTGCTTGTGTCTGTCATGGCTGATACCTCATTTTGGTTTCCGTGGCGATATGTCCAGAGCAGCGTCTGTGTCCCCAGCGAGTCCATTGTTAACATGTCACCCACATCCATGCGCCCTAAGTCAGACAGGAACTTACCCCAAAGATACCTCAGTATATATTTAGTAGTTAAAAATAAACCATGCCCCACAGTACTCCTTCTCCCAAGGCCTGTAGTGAGATAGGATGTCAAATAGTCCTGTAGCATGTAGCATGTCTGCCTGTTGCCTGTATATGTATCATGTGTCATGTAGCATGTAGCCTGTAGTAGTATCAATATGAAGATGTATAAAGTAGCCTGTAGTATAGTAACTTGTAACATGTAGCATGTAGCCTGTATCTGTATCATGTGACATGTACCTGAATGTATGTATCATGTGACATGTTAGCATGTAAGCCTGTAGTATGTATCAATGTGACATGTAAGCATGTAGCCTGAAGTATGTATCCTGTGACATGTAGCATGTAGCATGTAGCATGTAGAGCCTTTAGTCTTATCCTGTGACAGAGTAGCTGTAGCACTGTATTATGAATCATTGACAAGTGTCATGTAGCATGTAGCCTGTAGTATGTATCATGTGACATTGTAGCATGTGTGCCTGTAGTATGACATGTGACCCTGTAGCATGTAGCCTGTAGCCTGTAGTAGTATCATGTACATGTAGCATGTATCCTGTACCTGCTCGATGCCGCGGCTGTCTGGGTTCAGCAGGGGCCTGGTCTCCACGTGGCTCCTGGACCACGGACAGCCCACTCAGGGATCTTCGTCCCAGTTGCCTCAACACGGTCATGGCCAAGTGCTCGTCCGTCTGCTTCTTCACTCCTGCAAAACGTGTGACATCACAGCCTTAAACCACTGTCTCATGCACAGATCAAAAAGTACAGCTTGGTACCGTTCTCGTCCTCGATCTGGGAGGGGGCCTGGAACACTCTGGCCCCCCACCTGCACGCAGCCTCCCAGGGTCTGCTGGGCGGGTCCACTCCCCTCACTTTGCACAGAACGTGGCCAGGATCTGGGTGGGCTTCATGGGTCTCTCCAATGTTGTAGCCGTGGCTGTAAAAACATTTCACACACGATGCCAGGGTTTGTGTTAATATATGTGTTAATGTTATCATCCATCATCTTCATCGTCATCATCATCACAACTTCATCTTCAAATCGTCCTCATCCTCACCAACATCATGCACCATGATCATTATCATCAGACACCATCATCACCTTCATCATCATCACTTCATCCCATCATCATCATCACCAACCACCATCATCACCATCATCATCATCATCACCATCATCATCATCACCGTCATCATCAACACCATCATCAACATCATCATCACCTTCATCATCCATCAATCACTCATCATAATCATCATCATCAGCACTTCATCATCTCCATCACTATCAATCATCCTCGTCAACATCATCATCTCCTTAATCTCCATCATCATAATCACCTTCAATCATCAACATCATAATCACCTTATCATCACCATCATCATCACCACCATCATCATCACCATCATCATCACTATCATCACCATCAACATCCATCCTCATCATCTACCATCATCAACCCATACCATCATCATCATCACCATCAACACCATCATCATCATCAACCATCATCATCATCACCTTCATCATCATCCATCACCATCACACCTCACTCATCCATCCATCATACACCATCATCATCATCATCATCACCACATCATCATCATAACCATCATCATCATCATCATCACCATCTTCATCCTCATCCACATCATCATCATCATCATCACCCTTCATCATCTCCATCCACCATCATCATCATCACGTCATCATCATCAACACCATCAAACACATCATCACCATCAATCACCACATCTATCTTCAATCATACATCATCACCATCAATATCACCATCTCCCATCACCTACTCACATCAAATCCACCACATCATCATCAAATCACCCTCACCATCATCATCCTATCACTCATACCTACATCATCATCATCATCACACAGATCATCATACATCATCACACAACCATCACTCACCTTCACCATCCATCACATCACTCATACATCATCACCATCATCATCATCACCTCCACACATCCCATCACCATCCTCCATCATCACCATCACCTTCATCATCGTCATCTATCATCACCTCATCATCCTCCTCATCATCACCATCCCATCATCATCATCACCATCATCATCAACCTCATCATCCCATCATATCATACCATCACACCTCACCATCATCATCACACCATCATCATCACACCACATCATCATCCTCATCATCACCATATCATCCACCCATCCATCACCATCATCATCACCATCATCACCATCATCATCATCACCCAATCATCATCACCACATCATCATCACCACCATCATCATCATCACCACCATCATCATCCATCCATCACCTCATCATCATCACCATCACCTCATCATCACCATCATCATCATCATCACCATCATCAATCATCACCACCATCATCATCATCACCTCATCACCATCATCACCATCATCATCACCATCAACATCCATCTACCATCATCATCATCATCATCACCACTTCATCACCATCATCACCATCACCACCTATCATCACATCATCATCATCATACATCATCACCATCATCATCCTCATCATCATCCATCATCACCATCATCATCACACCATCATCATCACCATCAACATCATCATCACATCATCCATCACCATCATCACTCACCATCATCACCATCATCATCCTCTCATCATCATCATCATCACATCACCTCATCCATCATCCATCATCATCATCATCATAATCATCCCATCATCATCATCACCATCATCAACATCATCATCCAACATCAACTTCACCATCATCACCATCATCACATCATCATCATCTCATCATCATCACCATCATCACATCATCCTTCATCATACCATCATCACCATTCAATCATCATCACCATCATCATCACCATCACATCTTCATCACCATCCTCATCATCATTCATCACCATCATCATCATCACCATCATCACCATCATCATCATCACCATCCTATCATCAATCATCATCATCACCATCATCATCACATCATCCTCCTTCATCATCATCATCTCATCATCAACCATCCCATCATCATCATACATCATCACCATCACTCATCATCACCATCATCATCTTCATCTATCACCATCATCATCATCCATCACCTTCATCATCATCACCATCATCATCATCATCATCATCTCCATCATCACCATCATCATCACCATCATCATCACATCATCACCATCATCATCATCCATCATCACCATCATCACCATCACATCATCATCACCATCATCACCATCATCATCATCATCATCACCATCATCACCATCATCATCATCACCTCATCATCATCATCACCATCATCACCATACCATCATCACCATCATCCTCATCATCCATCATCATCACTCATCATCACCATCATCATCATCACCTCATCATCATCATCATCCCATCATCACTCATCATCACCATCATCATCACCTTCATCATCACCACCATCATCATCACCATCATCACCATCACCATCATCATCACCATCATCATCATCACCATCATCATCATCCATCATCATCACCATCATCACCATCTCTCCATCATCACTCATCATCACCTCATCATCACACCATCATCACCATCATCATCATCATCATCACCATCATCACTTCATCATCACATCATAACACCTACATCTCATCACCACCATCATCACATCATCACTTCACTCACCTCATCATCATCATAATCACCTTCATCATCTCACCATCATCACCATCACCACATCCATCATCACCTCATCTCCATCATCACCACACATCATCACATCATCATCTCATCATCATCACCACCATCATCTCATCATCATCACCATCATCATCATCACCATCATCACATCATCATCACCATCATCACCTTCATCCTCATCATCACATCATCACCTCACTGAGGTTGTGTCCTTAATGGCAAGACACTTCCCCCACATTATAAATGAGTCTGGTGTGGTGTGTTGTGAATGGTTTAGGTGATGTGGTGGGGAGGGGCATCTGTTAGTGTATCACCACCGGTTTTGGAGATAGAGAAATAATGATGTGCAGAGTACCTTTGAGAGTCCAGAAAAGAACATGAAAAAACTTATTATAATAAAAAAATAGTGGTGGTCTAGTGAGGAGGACTGAGGAGGAGGTCTGAGGAGGTGGTCTGAGAGGTGCTCTGAGAGTGCTCTGAGGAGGAGGTCTGAGGAGGGGGTCTGAGGTAGGTGGACTGTGGAGGTTGGTTCTGATGAGGAGGACTGAGGAGATGTTTGAAGGAGGGTGGTCTGAGGAGGTGCTTCTAGGAGGTGCTCAGAGGAGGAGGTCTGAGGAGGGGGTCTGAGAGGTGGCTGATGAGGTGGTCTGAGGAGGAGGTCTGAGGAGGAGTTTGAGGAGGTGGTCTGAGGAGTGCTCTGAGGAGGGAGTCTGAGAGGTGGACTGAGGAGGTGGTCTGAGGAAGGATGCTACTGAGAGGTTGGCCTGAGGAGGAGATGTTGAGGAGTATGGTCTGAGGAGGCGGATCTGAGGAAGGTGGACTGAGGAGGTGGTCTGAGGAGAGGACTGAGGAGGTGCTCTGAGGAGGAGGTCCTGAGGAGCGTGCACTGAGGAGGTGCTCTGAGGAGGAGGTGCTCTCACAGTGAGTAGTGGGGCCGGAGATCCCGCATGTGGCTCGGTACTTGCGTAGTAGCGGTTCTCCAGGTTTATGCGGGTCTCTCCGAGTCAGATCTATCACTCCAACCAGGACCCATTCGTAGAACCGAGACCCCGTGAGCATCGACTCCATGGGAATGTGGCCTCAATGTTCCCAGGACCTGAAACCACACACAAGTCCGAATGGGTCAACAGCCTCAGTCCTGGGTCTACAGTCTCAGTCCTGGGTCGACAAGCCTCAGTCCTGGGTCTTCCATCCTCATTCCCTGGGTCCTAACAGCCTCAGTCCTGGTTCTCCAGCCCTCAGTCCTGGGTTCTCCAGGCTCAGTCCTGGGGTCTACAGCCTTCAGTCCTGGGTCTAACAGCCCTCAGTCTCGGGTATCCCAGCCTCAGTACTACTCACGTTCCTCGAACACAGGGTTCAGTTGTTTGGAGATGTAGTTTCTCATTGTCTCTGATCTCGGTCTACAATACCCATTTTAATGACCACGGTATGATCACAATTACCGTTGATGGTCACGGAAGTAGGTCTGTGGCCTTCAGAGACACACAACACTTATAATGTGTTTGTGTGTGAGTGTGTCTGTGAGTGTGTGTGAGTCAGTGTGTGGTTGTGTGTGCTGTGTGTGCGTGTGTGTGTGTGTGATGGTGTGAGTGTGTGTGAGAGAGTGTGTCTGTGTGTGTGTTGTGTGTGTGGGTGATTGTGTCTGTGTGTGTGCTGTGTGTGTGTGTGAGAGTGTTGGTCTGTTGTGTGTGTCTGTGTGTGTGTGAGAGTGTGTCTGTTGATGTGTGTGTGTGTGTGAGTGTGTGTGTGGGACCCACCCCGTACAACGTAGACTCGGACCAGGAATTTTAATTGGGTCGAGTGGTGGGGGATGCTCTGGAACATGCCCGCATATTTGGGCTCGTTTTCCTGTTTCTCTTAGTGTGTCATCGGATAGAGGGACTTGTACATGCACAAGGAGCCTGCAACCACACAGTGGGTTAGTCTCTGGTCTCTCTCTCTGGTCTCTCTCTGGTCTCTCTCTCTGGTCTCTCTCTCTGGTCTCTCTCTGGTCTCTCTCTCTGGTCTCTCTCTGGTCTCTCTCTCTGGTCTCTCTCTCTGGTCTCTCTCTGGTCTCTCGCTGGTCTCTCTCTCTGGTCTCTCTCTGGTCTCTCTCTGGTCTCTCTCTGGTCCCTCTCTGGTCTCTCTCTGGTCTCTCTCTCTGGGTCTCTCTCTGGTCTCTCTCTGGTCTCTCTCTGGTCTCTCTCTGGTCTCTCTCTCTGGTCTCTCTCTGGTCTCTCTCTCTGGTCTCTCTCTGGTCTCTCTCTGGTCTCTCTCTGGTCTCTCTCTGGTCTCTCTCTCTGGTCTCTCTCTGGTCTCTCTTTGGTCTCTCTCTGGTCTACTCTCTGGTCTCTCTCTCTGGTTTCTCTCTGGTCTCTCTCTGGTCTCTCTCTGGTCCCTCTCTGGTCTCTCTCTGGTCTCTCTCTCTGGTCTCTCTCTGGTCTCTTTCTGGTCTCTCTCTCTGGTCTCTCTCTGGTCTCTCTCTCTGGTCTCTCTCTGGTCTCTCTCTCTGGTCTCTCTCTCTGGTCTCTCTCTGGTCTCTCTCTCTGGTCTCTCTCTGGTCTCTCTCTCTGGTCTCTCTCTCTGGTCTCTCTCTGGTCTCTCTCTGGTCTCTCTCTGGTCTCTCTCTCTGGTCTCTCTCTGGTCTCTCTCTCTGGTCTCTCTCTGGTCTCTCTCTCTGGTCTCTCTCTCTGGTCTCTCTCTGGTCTCTCTCGCTGGTCTCTCTCTCTGGTCTCTCTCTCTGGTCTCTCTCTCTGGTCTCTCTCTGGTCTCTCTCTCTGGTCTCTCTCTCTGGTCTCTCTCTCTGGTCTCTCTCTGGTCTCTCTCTCTGGTCTCTCTCTCTGGTCTCTCTCTCTGGTCTCTCTCTGGTCTCTCTCTGGTCTCTCTCTGGTCTCTCTCTGGTCTCTCTCTGGTCTCTCTCTCTGGTCTCTCTCTCTGGTCTCTCTCTGGTCTCTCTCTGGCCTCTCTCTGGTCTCTCTCTGGTCTGTCTCTGGTCTCTCTCTCTGGTCTCTCTCTGGTCTCTCTCTGGTCTCTCTCTGGTCTCTCTCTGGTCTCTCTCTCTGGTCTCTCTCTGGTCTCTCTCTGGTCTCTCTTTGGTCTCTCTCTGGTCTCTCTCTGGTCTCTCTCTCTGGTCTCTCTCTGGTCTCTCTCTGGTCTCTCTCTGGTCTCTCTCTCTGGTCTCTCTCTGGTCTCTCTCTGGTCTCTCTCTGGTCCCTCTCTGGTCTCTCTCTGGTCTCTCTCTCTGGTCTCTCTCTGGTCTCTTTCTGGTCTCTCTCTCTGGTCTCTCTCTGGTCTCTCTCTCTGGTCTCTCTCTGGTCTCTCTCTCTGGTCTCTCTCTCTGGTCTCTCTCTGGTCTCTCTCTCTGGTCTCTCTCTGGTCTCTCTCTCTGGTCTCTCTCTCTGGTCTCTCTCTGGTCTCTCTCTGGTCTCTCTCTGGTCTCTCTCTCTGGTCTCTCTCTGGTCTCTCTCTCTGGTCTCTCTCTGGTCTCTCTCTCTGGTCTCTCTCTCTGGTCTCTCTCTGGTCTCTCTCGCTGGTCTCTCTCTCTGGTCTCTCTCTCTGGTCGCTCTCTCTGGTCTCTCTCTGGTCTCTCTCTCTGGTCTCTCTCTCTGGTCTCTCTCTCTGGTCTCTCTCTCTGGTCTCTCTCTGGTCTCTCTCTCTGGTCTCTCTCTCTGGTCTCTCTCTCTGGTCTCTCTCTCTGGTCTCTCTCTGGTCTCTCTCTCTGGTCTCTCTCTCTGGTCTCTCTCTCTGGTCTCTCTCTCTGGTCTCTCTCTGGTCTCTCTCTCTGGTCTCTCTCTCTGGTCTCTCTCTCTGGTCTCTCTCTCTGGTCTCTCTCTCTGGTCTCTCTCTCTGGTCTCTCTCTCTGGTCTCTCTCTGGTCTCTCTGTCTGGTCTCTCTCTCTGGTCTCTCTCTCTGGTCTCTCTCTCTGGTCTCTCTCTGGTCTCTCTCTCTGGTCTCTCTCTCTGGTCTCTCTCTCTGGTCTCTCTCTCTGGTCTCTCTCTGGTCTCTCTCTCTGGTCTCTCTCTCTGGTCTCTCTCTCTGGTCTCTCTCTCTGGTCTCTCTCTCTGGTCTCTCTCTGGTCTCTCTCTCTGGTCTCTCTCTGGTCTCTCTCTCTGGTCTCTCTCTCTGGTCTCTCTCTCTCTGTCTCTCTCTGGTCTCTCTCTGGTCTCTCTCTGGTCTCTCTCTGGTCTCTCTCTCTGGTCTCTCTCTGGTCTCTCTCTCTGGTCTCTCTCTCTGGCCTCTCTCTGGTCTCTCTCTGGTCTCTGATCTTCGTTGAACAGATGGAGGAGGAGATCAAAGACAGGAAGAAGAAGAAGAAGAAGAAGGGCGTGGCCGAGGAGGAGGAGGCGCCGGACGAGAGCGTGCTGGACTGGTGGTCCAAGTACTTCGCCTCCATCGAGACTCTGCAGGAGGTCAGTGTTGGTCTTAAAGGGCCAGAACCATCAAAGGACTGTTTCAGAGACTGATTAGACCATGTGGGCACCATAAACACTTGAGCACTTTCCCACATCCAAAAGGTTTGGAATTAATGAAATGTTACGTATTGTTAGGGTTAGGGTTCTCACGCTCCATCCTTCCCTCACTGAGAACAAGACCCCGAGATACTTGAACTCCTCCACTTGAGGAAGGACCTCTCCACCCACCTGAAGAGGGCAAGGCACCTTTTTCCGGTCGAGCACCATGGCCTCAGATTTGGAGGTGCTGATTCTCATCCCAGCCGCTTCACACTCGGCTGCAAACCGTCCCAGTGCATGCTGCAGGTCCTGGTTCGTTGGAGCCAACAGGACAACATCGTCCGCAAACAGCAGAGATGAAATCCTGTGGTTCCCGAACCGGACCCCCTCCGGCCCCTGGCTGCACCTAGAAATTCTGTCCATAAATACAGTGAACAGAACCGGTGACAAAGGGCAGCCCTGTCGGAGGCCAACATTCACCGGGAACAGGTCTGACTTACTGCTGATGCGAACACAGCTCTGGCTCCGGTCATACAGGGACCGGACGGCCCTCAGCAGAGGACCCCGGACCCCGTACTCCCGGAGAACCCCCCAAAGGACACCCCGGGGAACACAGTCGAACGCCTTCTCCAAATCCACAAAGCACATGTGGACAGGTTGGGCGAACTCCCATGAACCCTCGAGTATCCGATGGAGAGTATAGAGCTGGTCCAGTGATGAAAACCACACTGCTCCTCCTGGATCCGAGATTCGACCATCGGCCGTAGTCTCCTCTCCAGTACCTTGGAGTAGACCTTACCGGGGAGGCTGAGGAGTGTGATCCCACGATAATTGGAACACACCCTCCGGTCCCCCTTCTTGTAGAGAGGGACCACCACCCCGGTCTGCCACTCCATTGGCACCGCCCCCGATCGCCACGCGATGCTGCAGAGACGTGTCAGCCAAGACAGTCCTACAACATCCAGAGACTTTAGATAATCAGGGCGGATCTCATCCACTCCCGGCGCCTTGCCACCATGGAGGCTACCAACCACCTTGGTGACCTCAGCCAGGGAGATGGAAGTATCCGCCCCAACATCCTCAGCCTCTGCCTCTGAAACAGAGGACGTGACGGGGGGATTGAGGAGAACCTCGAAGGATTCCTTCCACCGCCCGACTTTGAGGCCGACCGATAGTCCTGCTCCATGGACTCTCTGAACTCCTCCCAGTCCCGGGTTTTTGCCACTGCAACAGCCCGGGCCGCGGCACGCTTGGCCTGCCGGTACTGGACAGCTGCCTCAGGAGTCCCACGAACCATCATTGCTCGATAGGACTCCTTCTACAGTCTGACAGCATCCCTTACTGCCGGTGTCCACCACCGGGTTCGGGGGTTGCCGCCGGGACCAGCACCAGAGACCTTGCGACCACAGCTACGAGCCGCCGCATCGGCGATAGAGGAAGAGAACATGGTCCACTCGGACTTGATGTCCCCCTCCTCTGCCGGGACCTGGGAGAAGCTCTCCCGGAGGTGTGAGTTGAAAGTCCGTCTGACAGGGGGCTCAGCGAGACGTTCCCAGCAGACCCTCACTACACGCTTGGGTCTGCCAGGTCTGACCGGCTTCTTCCCCTGCAGCGGATCCAACTCACGACCAGGTGGTGATCGGTGACAGCTCCGCCCCTCTCTTTAGCTCCGCCCCTCTCTTCACCCGAGTGTCCGAGACACACGGTCGAAGGTCAGATGATACGACAACAAAGTGGATCATCGACCTCCGGCCTCAGGTCCTGGCGCCCCCTGGTGGACACCCTTGTGCTGGAACATGGTGTTCGTGATGGACAAACTGTGACTGGCACAGAAGTCCAACAACTGGACACCGCTCGGGTTCAGATCAGGGCCGTTCTTCCCCTTCACCCCTCTCCAAGTGTCACTGGCGTCCCCCACATGGGCGTTGAAGTCCCCCAGGAGAATAACGGAGTCCCCGGGCGGTGCACTGTCCAGTACCCCTCCCAAGGACTCCAAGAAGGCCGAATACTCTGCACTACCGTTAGGCCCATAGGCACAACAACAGTGAGAGACTTGTTCCCCACCCGGAGGCGGAGGGACGCGACCCTCTCATTCACCGGGGAGAACTCCAACACGTGGAGCTGAGATGGGGGGCAATGAGAATGGCCACCCCAGCTCGCCGTCTCTCCCCGCGGGAGACTCCAGAAAAGTGGAGCGTCCAACCCCTCTCAAGGAGTTGGGTTCAGAGCCCAAGCTGTGTGTGGAGGTGAGGCCGACGGTACAATACAATACAATACAATGTATTGTTGTATAGCCCTAGGTCACAACAGAAGTCATCTCAGAGACTTAACAAAACCATTGAAATCACCAACACAGGTCAGAGAATCAACGGTAGTCGGTATCTCTCGACCTCCCTCCTTCCCCCAGTGAGGCAACGTTCCACGTCCCAAGAGCCAGATGTTGGGTGTGTGGACTGGGTCGCCGAGGTCTCTGCATTCGACTGCTGCCCAGTCCTCTCTGCACCTGACCAGCACAAACCCCTCTGCGGGTGGTGGGCCCACAGGAGGGACTGCCCACGTCATCCCTTCGGGCTGTGCCCAGGGCCCCGTGGGCTAAGGCCCGGCCACCAGGCGCTCGCGTTCGAGCCCCAACCCCAGGCCTGGCTCCAGGGTGGGTTTTGGACTGCTCTTCGTCTGACTGGTCACCTGAGACCTGTGAACCATGGGAGACCCTACCAGGGGCATGAAGCCCCAGACAGCATAGCTCCCAGGATCATCCGAGTCAAACTCCCCCACCACGTTAAGGTGGCAGTCCAGGGGGGAGAAAGTATAAAGTATTAAGTACTAAGTATAAAGTATAAAGTATTAAGAGGGTGTTCTCTGACTGTTCTGTGCAGAAGCTGAAGGTTCAGGAGGCTGCTCAGGCCGAGGCCGAGGAGAAGGAGGACCTGGAGATCCTGGTGGAGACCGGAGGTACCATCACTCACACCAGCACTCACACCAGCACACACACCATCACACACACCAGCACTCACACCATCGCTCACACCAGCACTCACACCAGCACTCACACCATCACACACACCAGCACACACACCAGCACACACACCAGCACACACACCAGCACACACACCAGCACACACACCAGCACACACACCATCGCTCACACCAGCACACACACCAGCACACACACCAGCACACACACCAGCACACACACCAGCACACACATGTACTCGAGTATCACCACAGTGTGAGCCTTAAGCAGAAGAAGCTGATTAGAGTGAACTCAAACAGCCATTTTGAGCCAAACTTACAGCTCCTCACTCCTGATTGGTCAGTCCTTATATGGTCATATCTGGATTCACATAAACAGAGGATCACAGAAACCACAGATTTAAAGACCTTATGACGGGTTTTTAAAAAAAAAAAATAGTGGATATCAAAATTGCATGACAATGTCAATTTGAAAGAGATTCCGGCAAAAAAAAATCCTATATTTTATAAAAAGAAGGTGTTTTTCATGAATTTAAGTTGTCTATGCTCTAACCTGTGTGTGACGTCACAGCGGGTTACGCCCATGCATTGAAAACCATGGATCTATGCCACAGGACTGCCTTTTCTCTCTTCTCTCCACTGATGCCCAACACAATACTGCCCTCTACAGGTGACAATTGCTCACTACACATAAATTGCCGTTTTGAGAGTGAAAATGTGTCCGAGGTGGGATTTGAACCTGAGTATCTGGATTGACAGTCCATCGACACAACCACTGGACTATCTCAGTGACAATGAAATGGTACACTAGTAGTTATTTTAGACTCGCTGTACACGGCCTTGTCATCTTGAATATCCGCGAAAAAAGAACAAATACCAAATTGTAAACAACTTACAGCGTTGAAACGTACCCGTTCTGACGTCACCAAGGGCTGTGAAGTTTTTTCGTCTCTAAGGGCGTTGCTATGGGGTTATTTCGATTTGGGGGGATCAGACAAAAAAAACAACAACTGATTTTGAAACCTTTAGTAGTTCTCTTCTGATATAAAATGGTATTAAAACTGTATTTCTAAATAAATCAAACCCGGCATAAGGTCTTTAAGCCCAAAATGGTGATGTCACACGTTACTGAGCTAGATTCAGATTCAGTTTATCTTCCAGAGGATTCACCTTACTGTGGATAACTTTAGAACGTGATAAACCAGGGACCACTGTATTTATATATTTATACATTATATATTTATACATTATATATTTATATATTATATATTATATATTTATACATTATATATTTATATATTATATATTTATACATTATATATTTATACATTATATATATTTATACATTATATATTTATACATTATATATTTATACATTATATATATTTATATATTATATATATTTATACATTATATATTTATACATTATATATATTTATATATTATATATTTATTTATATATATTTATACATTATATATATTTATATTATATATATATATATGATGTATATGTGGAGAGTAAAGTTAAACGTGTGTATTATGTGTATATATATTAAGTGTAAGTCGTTACTGAGAAGGGACGGCACAATGTTGTATTTTTGTTGATTACAGTGTTACACTTGTACTTACACCTGTGGTTACCACAGCTGTAACCACAGGTGTAACCACAGGTCTAATCACAGGTGTAAGCACAGGTGTAGCCACAGGTGTAAGCACAGGTGTAGCCACAGGTGTAAGCACAGATGTAGCCACAGGTGTAGCCACAGGTTTAGCCACAGGTGTAAGCACAGATGTAGCCACAGGTGTAGCCACAGGTTTAGCCACAGGTGTAGCCAAAGGTGTAGCCACAGGTGTAAGCACAGATGTAGCCACAGGTGTAGCCACAGGTTTAGCCACAGGTGTAGCCAAAGGTGTAGCCACAGGTGTAAGCACAGATGTAGCCACAGGTGTAGCCACAGGTTTAACCACAGGTGTAACAACAGGAGTAGCCACAGGTGTAAGCACAGATGTAGCCACAGGTGTAACCAGAGGTATACCCACAGGTGTAACCACAGGTCTAATCACAGGTGTAACCACAGGTGTAACCACAGGTCTAATCACAGGTGTAACCACAGGTGTAACCACAGGTCTAATCACAGGTGTAACCACAGGTGTAACCACAGGTCTAATCACAGGTGTAACCACAGGTGTAACCACAGGTCTAATCACAGGTGTAACCACAGGTCTAATCACAGGTGTAACCACAGGTCTAATCACAGGTGTAACCACAGGTGTAACCACAGGTCTAATCACAGGTGTAACCACAGGTGTAACCACAGGTCTAATCACAGGTGTAACCACAGGTGTAACCACAGGTCTAATCACAGGTGTAACCACAGGTGTAGCCACAGGTCTAATCACAGGTCTAATCACAGGTGTAACCACAGGTCTAATCACAGGTGTAACCACAGGTCTAATCACAGGTGTAACCACAGGTCTAATCACAGGTGTAACCACAGGTGTAACCACAGGTCTAATCACAGGTCTAATCACAGGTGTAACCACAGGTCTAATCACAGGTCTAATCACAGGTGTAACCACAGGTCTAATCACAGGTCTAATCACAGGTGTAACCACAGGTCTAATCACAGGTGTAACCACAGGTGTAACCACAGGTCTAATCACAGGTGTAACCACAGGTGTAGCCACAGGTCTAATCACAGGTCTAATCACAGGTGTAACCACAGGTCTAATCACAGGTGTAACCACAGGTGTAACCACAGGTCTAATCACAGGTCTAATCACAGGTGTAACCACAGGTCTAATCACAGGTGTAACCACAGGTGTAGCCACAGGTCTAATCACAGGTCTAATCACAGGTGTAACCACAGGTCTAATCACAGGTGTAACCACAGGTGTAACCACAGGTCTAATCACAGGTCTAATCACAGGTGTAACCACAGGTCTAACCACAGGTCTAACCACAGGTCTAATCACAGGTGTAACCACAGGTGTAGCCACAGGTGTATGAGTGTTTCATCTGTCTCTCATGCTGGGGCCTCAGAGCTCAGAGCAGACGTTCTTCTTAAAGGGCCCAAACTCAGAGAAAAGAGAGACAGAAGGTTCACGAGGGACAAGCGGAGGACCAGGGACACTGTGGACGGGACCGAGAAGAGACCTCTGAGGCCCAGGGTGGACGAGCTCATGGTACACACACAACACACACATGACACACACATGACACACACACAACACACACATGACACACACACGACACACACATGACACACACATGACACACACACGACACACACATGACACACACACGACACACACGAGACACACATGACACACACACAACACACACATGACACACACACAACACACACATGACACACAAACAACACACAAACGACACACACACAACACACACATGACACACACACACGACACACACATGACACACACACAACACACACATGACACACACACGACACACACATGACACACACACATGACACTCACACAACACACACATGACACACACATGACACACACACAACACACACATGACACACACACAACACACACATGACACACACACGACACACACACGACACACACACAACACACACATGACACACACACGACACACGCACAACACACATGACACACACACAACACACACATGACACACACACGACACACACACGACACACACATGACACACACATGACACACATGACACACACACAACACACACATGACACATGACAACACACACATGACACACACACGACACACACATGACACACACACAACACACACATGACACACACATGACACACACAAGACACACACATGACACACACACAACACACACATGACACACACACGACACACACATGACACACACATGACACACACACGACACACACATGACACACACATGACACACACACCTCACACACATGTAGTGTACATGACACACACATGTAGTGTACATGACACACACATGACACACATGACACACACACAACACACACATGTAGTGTACATGACACACACATGTAGTGTACATGACACACACAAACACACACGTGACACACACAGACACACACAGACACACACATGACATACACATGTAGTGTACATGACACACACAGACACACACATGACACACACATGTAGTGTTCATGACACACACAGACACACACATGACACACATGACACACACATGACACACACATGGTACTTTCTATGTGTGTTCAGGAGTGTGTTGTGTGTTCAGGTGTGTGTTTTGTGTTCAGGAGTGTGTGTTGTGTGTTCAGGTGTGTGTTGTGTGTTCAGGTGTGTGTGATGTGCGTTCAGTTGTGTGTTCAGGCGTGTGTGTTGTGTGTTCAGGTGTGTGTGTTGTGTGTCCAGGTGTATGTTGTGTGTCCAGGTGTGTGTGTTGTGCGTCCAGGTGTGTGTTCAGGTGTGTTAGTTGTGTGTTCAGGTGTGTGTGTTGTGTGTCCAGATGTGTTGGTGTTGTTTTTCCAGGTGTGTGTTCAGTTGTGTGTCCAGGTGTGTGTGTTCAGTTGTGTGTGTTGTGTGTCCAGGTGTGTGTTGTGTGTTCAGTTGTGTGTCCAGGTGTGGGTGTTGTGTGTTCAGTTGTGTGTGTTCTGTGTCCAGGTGTGTGTGAGTGTGTTCAGTTGTGTGTGTTGTATGTTCAGGTGTGTGTTGTGTGTCCAGGTGTGTGTGTGTGTTCAGTTGTGTGTGTTGTGTGTTCAGTTGTGTGTTCAGTTGTGTGTCCAGGTGTGTGTGTGTGTCCAGGTGTGTGTGTTCAGTTGTGTGTGTTGTGTAGCCAGGTGTGTGTGTGTGTCTGTGTGTGTGTGTGTGTGTGTTGTGTGTGTGTGTATGTGTGTGTCTGTCTGTCTGTGTGTGTGTCTGTGTGAGTGCGTGTGTGTCTGTGTGTGTGTGTTCAGTTGTGTGTGTTGTGTGTCCAGGTGTGTGTGTTCAGTTGTGTGTGTTGTGTGTCCAGGTGTGTGTGTTCAGTTGTGTGTGTTGTGTGTCCAGGTGTGTGTGTTCAGTTGTGTGTGTTGTGTGTCCAGGTGTGTGTGTTCAGTTGTGTGTGTTGTGTGTCCAGGTGTGTGTGTTCAGTTGTGTGTGTTGTGTGTCCAGGTGTGTGTGTTCAGTTGTGTGTGTTGTGTGTCCAGGTGTACCCTCAGGAGTTGGAGGCAGACTTCTCAGACTTCGAGGACTGGCTTCACACGTTTCATTTGTTCAGAGGAAAAACAGGCGACGACGACGAGCACGCTCAGGAAGAAGAGCGCATCGTCGGGAGGTTCAAGGTCAAGTAACTGTACTCTGCTGAAGTAACTGTACTTTACTTTAGGGACTTTACTCTACTGTAGTAACTTTACTCTGCTGAAGTAACTTTACTCTACTGGTAACTTTACTCTGCTGAAGTAACTTTACTCTACTGGTAACTTTACTCTGCTGAAGTAACTTTACTCTACTGTAGTTACTCTACCAAAATAACTTTACTGAAGTAACTGTACTCTGCTGTAGTGACTCAACTCTAGTAACTCTACTGTTGTAACTGTACTTTAGTAACTATACTGTAGTAACTATACTGTAGTAAAGTACTGTAGTAACTATACTGTAGTAAAGTACTGTAGTAACTATACTGTAGTAAAGTACTGTAGTAACTATAATGTAACTATACTGTAGTAAAGTACTGTAGTAACTATACTGTAGTAAAGTACTATAGTAACTATACTGTAGTAAAGTACTGTAGTAACTATACTGCAGTAAAGTACTGTAGTAAATATGCTGTAGTAAAGTGCTGTAGTAACTATACTGTAGTAACTATACTGTAGTAAAGTGCTGTAGTAAAGTACTGTAGTAACTATACTGTAGTAACTATACTATAGTAAAGTACTGTAGTAACTATACTGTAGTAAAGTACTGTTGTAGCTATACTGTAGTAAAGTACTGTAGTAGCTATACTGTAGTAACTATACTGTAGTAAAGTACTGTAGTAACTATACTGTAGTAACTATACTAGGGGTGTCGCGATACTTTCTCCCGCGATTCGATTATCGATATGCATTTGCCAAGTATCAATATCGCTTTTGAAATTTAATTTAATTTATTTTATTTTTTTTAATTGGTATCAATACTTAATATATGGCTACATTACGCATTTCCATTCTATTAACCATGAAATAAAGAGTATTGTTTCTTTTATTTATGACATATATTGGCATATTGTATATTTCTGACCAATATATCAATAATTGTCGTATCGTGATAAAATTGTTATCTTAATATCGTTATTGTGATATTATCGTTATTGTGAGCTTTGTATCGTATCGTGAGGTACCCTTAGGTTCCCACCCCTAAACTTTACTGTAGTAAAGTACTGTAGTAAAGTACTGTAGTAACTATACTGTAGTAAAGTACTGTAGTAACTATACTGTAGTAACTATACTGTAGTAACTATACTGTAGTAACTGTTCTGTAGTAACTGTACTGTAGTAAAGTACTGTAGTAACTATGCTGTAGTAACTGTACTGTAGTAACTATACTGTAGTAAAGTACTGGAGTAACTATACTGTAGTAACTATACTGTAGTAACTATACTGTAGTAACTGTACTGTAGTAACTATGCTGTAGTAACTATACTGTAGTAACTATACTGTAGTAAAGTACTGTAGTAACTAGGCTGTAGTAGCTGTACTGTAGTAACTATACTTTAGTAAACTACTGTAGTAACTATACTGTAGTAACTATACTATAGTAACTATACTGTAGTAAAGTACTGTAGTAACTATACTGCAGTAACTATACTGTAGTAAAGTACTGTAGTAACTATACTGTAGTAAAGTACTATAGTAACTATACTTTAGTAAAGTACTGTAGTAACTATGCTGTAGTAAAGTACTATAGTAACTATACTGTAGTAAAGTACTATAGTAACTATACTATAGTAAAGTACTGTAGTAACTATGCTGTAGTAAAGAACTATAGTAACTATACTATAGTAACTATACTGTAGTAACTATGCTGTAGTAACTATGCTGTAGTAACTATACTGTAGTAAAGAACTATATTAACTATACTGTAGTAAAGTACTGTAGTAACTATGCTGTAGTAAAGTACTATAGTAAAGTACTGTAGTATACTGTAGTAAAGTAATATAGTAACTATACTGTAGTAAAGTACTGCAGTAACTATACTGTAGTAAAGTACTGTAGTAACTATGCTGTAGTAAAGTACTATAGTAACTATACTAAAGTACTGCAGTAACTATACTGTAGTAAAGTACTATAGTAACTATACTGTAGTAAAGTACTGTAGTAACTATGCTGTAGTAAAGTACTATAGTAACTATACTATAGTAAAGTACTGCAGTAACTATACTGTAGTAAAGTACTGCAGTAACTATACTGTAATAAAGTACTATAGTAACTATGCTGTAGTAAAGTACTGTAGTAACTATGCTGTAGTAAAGTACTGTAGTAACTATACTGTAGTAAAGAACTGTAGTAACAATACTGTAGTAAAATACTGTAGTAACTATGCTGTAGTAAAGTACTATAGTAACTATACTATAGTAAAGTAATATAGTAACTATGCTGTAGTAAAGTACTATAGTAACTATACTATAGTAAAGTACTATAGTAACTATACTGTAGTAAAGTACTATAGTAACTATACTGTAGTAAAGTACTGTAGTAACTATACTGTAGTAAAGTACTGTAGTAACTATGCTGTAGTAAAGTACTATAGTAACTATACTATAGTAAAGTACTGTAGTAACTATACTGTAGTAAAGTACTGTAGTAACTATACAGTAGTAACTATACTGTAGTAAAGTACTATAGTAACTATACTGTAGTAACTACACTGTAGTAAAGTACTGTAGTAAAGTACTATAGTAACTATACTGTAGTAACTATACTATAGTAAAGTACTGCAGTAACTATACTGTAGTAAAGTATTATATTAACTATACTGTAGTAAAGTACTGTAGTAACTATGCTGTAGTAAAGTACTGTAGTAACTATACTTTAGTAAAGCACTATAGTAACTATACTATAGTAAAGTACTGTAGAAACTATGCTGTAGTAAAGTACTATAGTAACTATACTGTAGTAAAGTACTGTAGTAACTATGCTGTAGTAAAGTACTATAGTAAATATACTATAGTAAAGTACTGTAGTAACTATACTAGTAAAGTACTGCAGTAACTATACTGTAGTAAAGTACTGCAGTAACTATACTGTAGTAAAGTACTACTGTAACTATACTGTAGTTAAGTACTGTAGTAACTATGCTGTAGTAAACTACTATAGTAACTATACTGTAGTAACTATGCTGTAGTAACTATACTGTAGTAAAGTACTGTAGTAACTATGCTGTAGTAAAGTACTGTAGTAACTATGCTGTAGTAAAGTACTATAGTAACTATACTATAGAAAAGTACTATAGTAACTATACTATATTAAAGTACTGTAGTAACTATACTGTAGTAAAGTACTATAGTAACTATACTGTAGTAAAGTACTGTAGTAACTATACTGCAGTAAAGTACTGTAGTAACTATACTGTAGTAAAGTACTGTAGTAACTATACTGTAGTAAAGTACTGTAGTAACTATGCTGTAGTAAAGTACTATAGTAACTATACGGTAGTAAAGTACTATAGTAACTATACTGTAGTAACTTCACTGTAGTAAAGTACTGTAGTAACTATGCTGTAGTAAAGTACTATAGTAACTATAATGTAGTAAAGTACTGTAGTAAAGTACTGTAGTAACTATGCTGTAGTAAAGTACTATAGTAACTATACTGTAGTAAAGTACTGTAGTAACTATACTTTAGTAAAGTACTGTAGTAACTATACTGTAGTAAAGTACTGTAGTAACTATGCTGTAGTAAAGTACTGTAGTAACTATGCTGTAGTAAAGTACTGTAGTAACTATACTGTAGTAACTATACTGTAGTAAAGTACTGTAGTAACTATACTGTAGTAAAGTACTGTAGTAACTATACTGTAGTAAAGTACTGTAGTAACTATATTGTAGTAAAGTACTGTAGTAACTGTAACAGTAGTCCATAACCCACTGTGTGGTTGCAGGGCTCCTTGTGCATGTACAAAGTCCCTCTGTCCGATGACATCACCAAAGAAACAGGAAACGACCCAAATATGGGCATGTTCCAGAGCATCCCCCACAACGACCCAATTAAAGTCCTAGTAAAGTAATAAAGTGATAAAGTAATAAAGTAATAGTAAAGTACTGTAGTAACTATACTGTAGTAAAGTACTGTAGTAACTATACAGTAGTAACTATACTGTAGTAAAGTACTATAGTAACTATACTGTAGTAACTACACTGTAGTAAAGTACTATAGTAACTATACTTTAGTAACTATACTATAGTAAAGTACTGCAGTAACTATACTGTAGTAAAGTATTATAGTAACTATACTGTAGTAAAGTACTGTAGTAACTATGCTGTAGTAAAGTACTGTAGTAACTATACTTTAGTAAAGCACTATAGTAACTATACTATAGTAAAGTACTGTAGTAACTATGCTGTAGTAAAGTGCTGTAGTAACTATACTGTAGTAAAGTACTGTAGTAACTATGCTGTAGTAAAGTACTATAGTAACTATACTATAGTAAAGTACTGTAGTAACTATACTGTAGTAAAGTACTGTAGTAACTATACAGTAGTAACTATACTGTAGTAAAGTACTATAGTAACTATACTGTAGTAACTACACTGTAGTAAAGTACTGTAGTAAAGTACTATAGTAACTATACTGTAGTAACTATACTATAGTAAAGTACTGCAGTAACTATACTGTAGTAAAGTATTATAGTAACTATACTGTAGTAAAGTACTGTAGTAACTATGCTGTAGTAAAGTACTGTAGTAACTATACTTTAGTAAAGCACTATAGTAACTATACTATAGTAAAGTACTGTAGTAACTATGCTGTAGTAAAGTACTATAGTAACTATACTGTAGTAAAGTACTGTAGTAACTATGCTGTAGTAAAGTACTATAGTAAATATACTATAGTAAAGTACTGTAGTAACTATACTATAGTAAAGTACTGCAGTAACTATACTGTAGTAAAGTACTGCAGTAACTATACTGTAGTAAAGTACTACTGTAACTATACTGTAGTTAAGTACTGTAGTAACTATGCTGTAGTAAACTACTATAGTAACTATACTGTAGTAACTATGCTGTAGTAACTATACTGTAGTAAAGTACTGTAGTAACTATGCTGTAGTAAAGTACTGTAGTAACTATGCTGTAGTAAAGTACTATAGTAACTATACTATAGAAAAGTACTATAGTAACTATACTATATTAAAGTACTGTAGTAACTATACTGTAGTAAAGTACTATAGTAACTATACTGTAGTAACTATACTGTAGTAAAGTACTGTAGTAACTATACTGCAGTAAAGTACTGTAGTAACTATACTGTAGTAAAGTACTGTAGTAACTATACTGTAGTAAAGTACTGTAGTAACTATACTGTAGTAAAGTACTGTAGTAACTATGCTGTAGTAAAGTACTATAGTAACTATACGGTAGTAAAGTACTATAGTAACTATACTGTAGTAACTTCACTGTAGTAAAGTACTGTAGTAACTATGCTGTAGTAAAGTACTATAGTAACTATAATGTAGTAAAGTACTGTAGTAAAGTACTGTAGTAACTATACTGTAGTAAAGTACTATAGTAACTATACTGTAGTAAAGTACTGTAGTAACTATACTTTAGTAAAGTACTGTAGTAACTATACTGTAGTAAAGTACTGTAGTAACTATGCTGTAGTAAAGTACTGTAGTAACTATGCTCTAGTAAAGTACTGTAGTAACTATACTGTAGTAACTATACTGTAGTAAAGTACTGTAGTAACTATACTGTAGTAAAGTACTGTAGTAACTATACTGTAGTAAAGTACTGTAGTAAAGTACTGTAGTAACTATATTGTAGTAAAGTACTGTAGTAACTATACTATAGAAAAGTACTATAGTAACTATACTATATTAAAGTACTGTAGTAACTATACTGTAGTAAAGTACTATAGTAACTATACTGTAGTAACTATACTGTAGTAAAGTACTGTAGTAACTATACTGCAGTAAAGTACTGTAGTAACTATACTGTAGTAAAGTACTGTAGTAACTATACTGTAGTAAAGTACTGTAGTAACTATGCTGTAGTAAAGTACTATAGTAACTATACGGTAGTAAAGTACTATAGTAACTATACTGTAGTAAAGTACTGTAGTAACTATGCTGTAGTAACTGTACTGTAGTAACTATACTGTAGTAAAGTACTGGAGTAACTATACTGTAGTAACTATACTGTAGTAACTATACTGTAGTAACTGTACTGTAGTAACTATGCTGTAGTAACTATACTGTAGTAACTATACTGTAGTAAAGTACTGTAGTAACTAGGCTGTAGTAGCTGTACTGTAGTAACTATACTTTAGTAAAGTACTGTAGTAACTATACTGTAGTAACTATACTATAGTAACTATACTGTAGTAAAGTACTGTAGTAACTATACTGCAGTAACTATACTGTAGTAAAGTACTGTAGTAACTATACTGTAGTAAAGTACTATAGTAACTATACTTTAGTAAAGTACTGTAGTAACTATGCTGTAGTAAAGTACTATAGTAACTATACTATAGTAAAGTACTATAGTAACTATACTATAGTAAAGTACTGTAGTAACTAGGCTGTAGTAAAGAACTATAGTAACTATACTATAGTAACTATACTGTAGTAACTATGCTGTAGTAACTATGCTGTAGTAACTATACTGTAGTAAAGAACTATATTAACTATACTGTAGTAAAGTACTGTAGTAACTATGCTGTAGTAAAGTACTATAGTAACTATACTATAGTAAAGTACTGTAGTATACTGTAGGAAAGTAATATAGTAACTATACTGTAGTAAAGTACTGCAGTAACTATACTGTAGTAAAGTACTGTAGTAACTATGCTGTAGTAAAGTACTATAGTAACTATACTAAAGTACTGCAGTAACTATACTGTAGTAAAGTACTATAGTAACTATACTGTAGTAAAGTACTGTAGTAACTATGCTGTAGTAAAGTACTATAGTAACTGTACTATAGTAACTATACTATAGTAAAGTACTGCAGTAACTATACTGTAGTAAAGTACTGCAGTAACTATACTGTAATAAAGTACTATAGTAACTATGCTGTAGTAAAGTACTGTAGTAACTATGCTGTAGTAAAGTACTGTAGTAACTATACTGTAGTAAAGAACTGTAGTAACAATACTGTAGTAAAATACTGTAGTAACTATGCTGTAGTAAAGTACTATAGTAACTATACTATAGTAAAGTAATATAGTAACTATGCTGTAGTAAAGTACTATAGTAACTATACTATAGTAAAGTACTATAGTAACTATACTGTAGTAAAGTACTGTAGTAACTATATTGTAGTAAAGTACTGTAGTAACTATACTATAGAAAAGTACTATAGTAACTATACTATATTAAAGTACTGTAGTAACTATACTGTAGTAAAGTACTATAGTAACTATACTGTAGTAACTATACTGTAGTAAAGTACTGTAGTAACTATACTGCAGTAAAGTACTGTAGTAACTATACTGTAGTAAAGTACTGTAGTAACTATGCTGTAGTAAAGTACTGTAGTAACTATGCTGTAGTAAAGTACTATAGTAACTATACGGTAGTAAAGTACTATAGTAACTATACTGTAGTAACTTCACTGTAGTAAAGTACTGTAGTAACTATGCTGTAGTAAAGTACTATAGTAACTATAATGTAGTAAAGTACTGTAGTAAAGTACTGTAGTAACTATGCTGTAGTAAAGTACTATAGTAACTATAATGTAGTAAAGTACTGTAGTAAAGTACTATAGTAACTATACTGTAGTAAAGTACTGTAGTAACTATACTGTAGTAAAGTACTGTAGTAACTATGCTGTAGTAAAGTACTGTAGTAACTATGCTGTAGTAAAGTACTGTAGTAACTATACTGTAGTAACTATACTGTAGTAAAGTACTGTAGTAACTATACTGTAGTAAAGTACTGTAGTAACTATACTGTAGTAAAGTACTGTAGTAACTATATTGTAGTAAAGTACTGTAGTAACTGTAACAGTAGTCCATAACCCACTGTGTGGTTGCAGGGCTCCTTGTGCATGTACAAAGTCCCTCTGTCCGATGACATCACCAAAGAAACAGGAAACGACCCAAATATGGGCATGTTCCAGAGCATCCCCCACAACGACCCAATTAAAGTCCTAGTAAAGTAATAAAGTGATAAAGTAATAAAGTAATAGTAAAGTACTGTAGTAACTATACTGTAGTAAAGTACTGTAGTAACTATACAGTAGTAACTATACTGTAGTAAAGTACTATAGTAACTATACTGTAGTAACTACACTGTAGTAAAGTACTATAGTAACTATACTGTAGTAACTATACTATAGTAAAGTACTGCAGTAACTATACTGTAGTAAAGTATTATAGTAACTATACTGTAGTAAAGTACTGTAGTAACTATGCTGTAGTAAAGTACTGTAGTAACTATACTTTAGTAAAGCACTATAGTAACTATACTATAGTAAAGTACTGTAGTAACTATGCTGTAGTAAAGTACTGTAGTAACTATACTGTAGTAAAGTACTGTAGTAACTATGCTGTAGTAAAGTACTATAGTAACTATACTATAGTAAAGTACTGTAGTAACTATACTGTAGTAAAGTACTGTAGTAACTATACAGTAGTAACTATACTGTAGTAAAGTACTATAGTAACTATACTGTAGTAACTACACTGTAGTAAAGTACTGTAGTAAAGTACTATAGTAACTATACTGTAGTAACTATACTATAGTAAAGTACTGCAGTAACTATACTGTAGTAAAGTATTATAGTAACTATACTGTAGTAAAGTACTGTAGTAACTATGCTGTAGTAAAGTACTGTAGTAACTATACTTTAGTAAAGCACTATAGTAACTATACTATAGTAAAGTACTGTAGTAACTATGCTGTAGTAAAGTACTATAGTAACTATACTGTAGTAAAGTACTGTAGTAACTATGCTGTAGTAAAGTACTATAGTAAATATACTATAGTAAAGTACTGTAGTAACTATACTATAGTAAAGTACTGCAGTAACTATACTGTAGTAAAGTACTGCAGTAACTATACTGTAGTAAAGTACTACTGTAACTATACTGTAGTTAAGTACTGTAGTAACTATACTGCAGTAAAGTACTGTAGTAACTATACTGTAGTAAAGTACTGTAGTAACTATACTGTAGTAAAGTACTGTAGTAACTATACTGTAGTAAAGTACTGTAGTAACTATGCTGTAGTAAAGTACTATAGTAACTATACGGTAGTAAAGTACTATAGTAACTATACTGTAGTAACTTCACTGTAGTAAAGTACTGTAGTAACTATGCTGTAGTAAAGTACTATAGTAACTATAATGTAGTAAAGTACTGTAGTAAAGTACTGTAGTAACTATGCTGTAGTAAAGTACTATAGTAACTATACTGTAGTAAAGTACTGTAGTAACTATACTTTAGTAAAGTACTGTAGTAACTATACTGTAGTAAAGTACTGTAGTAACTATGCTGTAGTAAAGTACTGTAGTAACTATGCTGTAGTAAAGTACTGTAGTAACTATACTGTAGTAACTATACTGTAGTAAAGTACTGTAGTAACTATACTGTAGTAAAGTACTGTAGTAACTATACTGTAGTAAAGTACTGTAGTAAAGTACTGTAGTAACTATATTGTAGTAAAGTACTGTAGTAACTGTAACAGTAGTCCATAACCCACTGTGTGGTTGCAGGGCTCCTTGTGCATGTACAAAGTCCCTCTATCCGATGACATCACCAAAGAAACAGGAAACGACCCAAATATGGGCATGTTCCAGAGCATCCCCCACAACGACCCAATTAAAGTCCTGGTCCGAGTCTACGTAGTCCGGGTGGGTCCCACACACACACTCACACACACACACACACACAGACACACTCTCACACACACACATACACACACAAACAGACACACTCTCACACACACACATACACACACAAACAGACACACTCACACACACACACACACACACACAGACACACTCTCACACACACACATACACACACAAACAGACACACTCACGCACACACACACACACACACACACACACAAACAGACACACTCACACACACACACATTATAAGTGTTGTGTGTCTCTGCAGGCCACAGACCTACATCCCGCTGACATCAACGGTAAAGCTGATCCATACGTGGTCATTAAACTGGGGAAGACCGAGATCAGAGACAAAGAGAACTACATCTCCAAACAACTGAACCCTGTGTTCGGGAAGTGAGTAGTACTGAGGCTGGAGACCCAGGACTGAGGCTGTAGACCCAGGACTGAGGCTGTAGACCCAGGACTGAGCCTGGAGACCCAGGACTGAGGCTGGAGACCCAGGACTGAGGCTGTAGACCCAGGACTGAGGCTGGAGACCCAGGACTGAGGCTGTAGACCCAGGACTGAGACTGTAGACCCAGGACTGAGGCTGTAGACCCAGGACTTGTGTGTGGTTTCAGGTCCTTCGACATTGAGGCCACATTCCCCATGGAGTCGATGCTCACGGTCTCGGTCTACGACTGGGACTTGGTTGGAGCTGATGATCTGATCGGAGAGACCCGCATAGACCTGGAGAACCGCTACTACAGCAAGTACCGAGCCACCTGCGGGATCCCGGCCCACTACTCACTGTGAGAGCACCTCCTCCTCAGAGCACCTCCTCAGAGCACCTCCTCAGACCTCCTCCTCAGAGCACCTCCTCAGACCTCCTCCTCAGACCACCTCCTCAGACCACCTCCTCAGACCGCCTCCTCAGACCATCTCCTCAGACCTCCTCCTCAGACCACCTCCTCAGAGCACCTCCTCAGACCTCCTCCTCAGACCACCTCCTCAGACCTCCTCCTCAGAGCACCTCCTCAGACCACCTCCTCAAACCTCCTCCTCAGACCTCCTCCTCAGACCACCTCCTCAGACCACCTCCTCAGACCCCCTCCTCAGACCTCCTCCTCAGAGCACCTCCTCAGAGCACCTCCTCAGACCACCTCCTCAAACCTCCTCCTCAGACCTCCTCCTCAGACCACCTCCTCAGACCACCTCCTCAGACCCCCTCCTCAGACCTCCTCCTCAGAGCACCTCCTCAGAGCACCTCCTCAGACCACCTCCTCAGACCACCTCCTCAGACCTCCTCCTCAGACCACCACATTTTATATTATAATAAGTTTTATTCAGTTCTTTTCTGGACTCTCAAAGTCTCTTCACATCATTATTCTCTATCTCCAAACACGGTGGTGATACACTAACAGAAGCCCCTC